CGGCGACGCCTCGAGCTGTGTCGACGACAAGAAACACAATGCGCTCGGTGCCACGAACTGAGTGGATGATGAATGGTCACGGTTCTTTGTTTCCGACAGCCGTGACGAAGGATTTGGCTCGGGTCGGTGGTTTAAATGTCGTCGTTGTGATTAGGGGTTGAGTTTTCAGGATTTATTGTTGGATCGTTGATGGCAGTTGACAGGTTGTATAATGAGTCTGGGGACTTGAATGTTTTCCAACGTGGACTGGGCACGATTGTTTTAGGATTGGGGAGTGGTTAATGATGATCGCAGTTTTGGATGATGAGCTGAAAGGTTAAAGGATGCAAGAGATGGTATAGATTTGTATCAATAAAATTTGATTACAATGTTGTTGAAATTAGAGCATAGTTTCTGGGATTTATCGTTGAATCGTTGATGGCAGTTGGAAGGTTAAAGATCGCAAGGAACGGTATAAATTTGTATTAATAAAATGTGAATAGAATATTGTTGAAATTAGGGGATGGTTTCAAAGATTTATTGTTGACAGTTTGTATAACGAATATGGGAACTTGAATGTTTTATATCGTGGACTGTATTACACAATTAGGTTGCCTAAAACATCTTATCTTATTTTTTAATGAAGATTAATACAAAATTTCACTGAGTTAAATGAAACTTTATTGAACGTTGTGTTTTCTTTTGTCTCCTAGTTTGTACTTTTGTAATATTATGTTATAATAAAAACACTACTTTCAGAGGTAACACAGTAAGACTTTTTGGCCAACCTAATAGTTTTGAATAACGTGCTGGAAGATTCGAGGATGCAGGAAATGGTATAGAGTTGTGATGATAAAATGTAATTAAAATGTCATCGTTGTTATTAGGGGATTTCATCGTTTCCAGAATTTATTATTGGATCCTCAATGGCAGTTGACAGTTCGTGTAATGAGTCCGGGGACTTCAGTGTTTTAGAACGTGGCCTGCACATGATTGTTTCAGGATTGGGGGACGGCTAATGGGTGTAGTTTTGCATAATGAGCTCGAAGACACGAAGGTGCAAGAAATTGTGTAGAGTTGTAATGACAGTGATTTAAATGGAATTAAAATGTCGTTATTGCGGTTAGGGAATGAATTCAACGTATTATGTACTAGGTGTTGTTAAAGACTTTATTGGAGATTAATAATCAGTACTTATGGAATTTTTAACTAAATTTTTAATAGTCATTCATTATATTAGCTAACATTATTCAATTATTATTTGAGAACTATCGTTCAAAGAAAATTATTAAAGCAGTTTTTATCAGTTTTCCGTGACGTCACCTCGATTAAAAATTTTTATTGTAAAATAATATGCAGATTTGGCTAAAGTGTCATTTGTACATTAACCCACTCAGTGCCATTTGTAATTGCTAAAATTTTTCCGAAAATTGCCGTACAATTTTGCCGAGAAATGCTTAGCTTACGGAAAATGTCTCTAAAAATGTTACTATTTATATGAATGTGCTAAAACGTTTACAAGGTATAGTAAACATTTTCATCTTTTGGTGACTGTGCTATTTGCAGAAATTAAAATAATTTCAGAAAAATTGTCAACGTCGCTAACAGCGAAGTTGACACTCCAAGGGTTGAAGTAGATTCTATAATAAATATTTCAAAATTTATACAAATTCCTTCAGAACTCACGATAATTATAAATCAGGTGTAATCATGAAAGCTCCATATTGTAAATGGAGTTAATTAACGATAATGATCTGTACCATGTATCATCCCCTATCTCTCTGCCAAGAAATCCTACAAAGACGCATTTCAATTTCGATTCCTGTCTCCCTATCGGTGGCCCGGTTTCTTTGTCGAAAGCCACAATCTTTTCCTCTGCAAGGGGTAATCGAGGCGTGCCGCGGGATAGCTTGTTAGGGGTGAAACTCCTCAAAGGAGACGGCTGAAGCCGTGCGTAAAGTCGATTCGATGGGACCCCGAATGCACGTTCCCGTCGCTGGAATGACCTCTTTTCACCTGACGAGAAACCAGTTACGGGTTAAGGGTCGGAAATACCTGAAAATCATGCTCGACGACCCCTCGCTTCAGGGGTTGTAACACAGGGTCACTTCATTACGTAGTTCATTCGCGTTGCCGGAGCCATTGTGGACTTCCAGAACATTTTTGTTCCGTTCTCTGTTCGTCTTTTGTGCATCGAGGGTGGTTCGTCGCAATGGAATTAATTAGGGGTAACTTTTGCCGTTGAAGTGAAGTTGATAGGATGAAGTTAGTTTTTGAATACTGTTTTGCGAAATAAAGGAAATTTGGGAATTTAGAGGGTAAGGTTACTTCGCTGTGGGAACGTTTTTGGATCATTTATTTACAACAAATTTGGGAATTTAAAGGGTGAGGTTACTTTTTTGAAAAATTTAGGTGGTGACTGAAAAAATAGGTAATGTATTTTACAATGATAATTGTAAGAACATGTTACTGTGAACGATAAGAACAATGTGACTCTTATATTTTAATGTAAAATGTTTTTTCGAATTTCTTCGCTTCAAATTTTTCTATTTTGTACAATTAACGGTTTTAAATAAAAAATCTAAGAATATTCTCTGATATGTGTATGTTTTAGCAGTTACAATTTGCATAATTATTTTTTCCAGATTTTTGTATTCAATTGAATAAAGAAAACAGAGAAGAGATTAGTAATTTGAATTATTCCTGCAACTATCCTCTCAACGAAGTCGTAAAGTTCAATATTTCTCTTTGATGAAATATCCAACAATATAATTTCATTTATACTGATTCAGTAACAGTACAATTTTATTCACTAAATTATAATAATATAACAGTACAATATTATTCAATAAATTACAATAATATAAAAGTACAGTTTTATTGAATAAATTACGATAATACAACAGTACAATTTTATTCAATAAATTACAATAATATAAAAGTACAGTTTTATTTAATAAATTACGATAATACAACAGTACAATTTTATTCAATAAATTATAATTATAACATAACAAAATAATTCGAACTAACTATACATTTCATCCCTTAACCTACTACACACTTTTCAAACGTACCAATTAGAAAAGCCAAATATTCTTTTAGTCGTTTCGTACGATCGTGTGTCATGTAAAAGGGTGCAACCCTTCGCCCAGCCCTACGTTCCTAAATTAATCATTTTCCGGATATTATGCCTGGCGCGTAATTAAATGGGCCCGAGAGCTAATCAACCGAATCACGAGTTCGCAAATTGACAACGTGCAAAGACAATGCGGGCCTCTTCTGCCACGCCCTTGTTTGTCATTTCATTAGCCCTATATTAGCGGTTACAAGCTGGTCCAACCCCTTGAACGGTCGCGGTGCCAACCCCTTCGTCATCACTTTCGCATTATTGGCTCGCTGGGATCGTTTGTTCCGTTCAATCAGTAACCGGAGTTCGACCAATTTCGAGGCGAACCTACCCTGCCATCGTTCATCCTCCTTTTTCGTATTCAATTCCAACCTCTTCCGCAGTTCCATTGAAATGGTTATGTGAAAAAAGATAAAAAAATGTGCCGAATGGAAAATACGCAGTTCATAACCTATTCATACAGTACGTCCATTTTATTCATGTATAGTTAAATATTGCCGTAATCGTTGAAGATACGAAAAAATATTTCAGATAAAAATTGTACAACATGACGAGAGATATTTGATAAGCAGTTTCGATTTTTTTTTTATATTGTTACTATAGTATATTGTGGTGGTTTACTATTAGATGATATTTGAAAATGTGGATCTTTAGTAAAAAGAGAATTAGGAAAACAATAATATATTTAATAAGATAAAGGAAACAATACGGACAACACGTAAAATACAACACACGACTCTCGCACCAAAAATGTTCTACTCCGCTGTCGCTCACCAAAATGTCCTTCTCCATTGTCGCTCACCAAAAAATGTCCTCATGCACGCATTTCCACTCGCTTTTATCACACACCCCCATTCGCTCTGTCTTTCTCACCCTTGCACCCTTCTCACTCGCATCTTCCGTCCATAGTCAAAACTCACGCAGTTACGTACACACTTTTCTCACGGTTCAGTCGCTCAGTTCCAGATACTCTTCCTCGCATTCTTTCAGCCACTCGAAATTGTCTAAACGCAGTCACACTATTTCCCAAACATCCCGGCGCCGGTCCGTCGCAATACGACCTGGTCGCCCTCACGCACGCACAACAAACCATTCATCCTACAATAAATATTCTCGATACTACATTACTTAATGAGATTTCCAGGCCAATGCAACTTTTTAAAATGAAACTACTTGCCTGTTTTCGTTAAAGTTAGTTTATTGTATTTCTTAAGATGAACTTAACGAAGTGTATAACATTTACCTTCAAGTAATAATGTATCAACTATTTTTCTAAATATTTGTAGATAATTTTAACATCTTTAATATCTTTCATATAATTTAATATATTCCACCGCAATGCGAAACTTTTGAAAGTTTTAGTAAAGAATTGTGTTAGTATGTGTCTTTAATATTATAAGAATGTTTTTGAACTACCAATCTGATGTCTTCAACCTTTACAACTTCGAAAACTATATAAAATATTCGTCAGATATATGTGAGAATCAAAGAGGGAGAAATTTCAAAAATCGATTTTCTTTTGTTGTTTAGAACTATGGGTCCCCTTACGCAGAAAAAGTGGAAAGAAATGACATTTAACAGAACCAGAATGAAAAAGGGAAATAAATAAATTTAGTAGGGTAATTTAGAATATCTAGGAAACATTCAATTTCTGTAGAACAATTTTCATTGTGTTCTTCTTTTCACTGACCAACACTTAAAGGTGGTTGAATTTTTTTCCTGGAATATTCTAACACTCTTATTCAAGTGAAGTATTTAATTTTTAAGCTTCACATATTTGCAAATAATTACAACTATTTTGTTTGTAAATTGTAAATTATATTCCTGTAATTTTCAGTTAATTTTCATCAATCTGTTTTATCACTGATAAATGTAAAATAATCTGTTCCAGATAATCGACAGAGGATCCTTTGGCAACAATAGTTCGTGGAATACAGAACGACGAAATGGACACCTACGTGAGTAAAATTGTTTCCCGAACTTTTAATTAAACAAATAAATAAGGAACTGTTTGCCGTACATGTAAACGTTTCCGGAGAACGTTGAAAAATATTACACAATGAACTTTTAATTCAAATTCCGATGCGTGTTTGAAATATATTCAATTATAAATGATGGCACAATAAGAACATGACTTATGTCGTTTATAAAATTCCAAAAAATAATTCCATAAGAATTTTCAACTCTTGTCCTTTCCAATAAGAATCAAAACAACGTAGTGGGATCTCTGATCGAAGATTTCTGTCGTTTGAAAATATAAAGGTACTCCAATCGATAAGCCACTTTGTTCTCAATCCGAAAGATTTTGAAAATATTGTATACAACTTCAAGTACTACAGTTTTGCTCAAAAGTCATGAGATATTTACCTGTGTTATAAGGTACTATAAGTAGCAAAAAATATAACAGTTAATTTTTAAAATAAATTAGAAGCATGGCATTTCAATTTATTTATTTTATCTGGACACAAGTAATTCTGTGACACTCTTAACGTGCCTATACAAAACTATACAAATCTTTAAAAGGAATTTATTATCCTTTATTGTTTTAAAAATACATAATATTAATATTAATTTTAGTATTTGAATGATTCCACCATTTGAGTGTCCACCACTTTTAAACAGGGCAACATATCATTGAAGTATTTAAATACTGAACTAATAATATTACAATATTAAATTACAACAATAACGACAATAATAATGCAAATAAACACTGAAATAACAATATTCCAATAAATCCAACGTTAGTCCTCGATCCCCACAAAATTCTACCAAACGTCCACCACTTTTAAACACTCCAATACATCATTAAAGTAAATACAGTGACATTATTGTTTCCACTTAAGATTGCTCCTCGTTCGACGCCGATACGCCCTTATTTCTTTTTCTTCGTGAAAACGAACGAGCAAGAGGAAAGTCAACCTTTCGGTTCGCTGGACGTTTGTCTCGCGTGCTGTGCACCTAACAAAAGGAAGAGCAGAGTAAATCCTCCAGAAGCGAGCAGGCGCATCGGCCATTTGACTGGAAAGCACTCCCTCGATACACGTTGACAGAGAATACTCTCCGTCGAACTCGATTTTCTCCGATCGGAATTTTAAACAGACGAAAATCCTCTCTGCTCGCACTTTTTCAGCAGGCGTGGCCGCCATTTTCTCGCGCCTTAATGGAGCCGTTAATATCCTTTAAGCGGTGAGCAATCGAGGACCTTGTAACTATTATATATAAAAGGCGCTGCTTTCTTTACCTGCCTAGAGTGAATTAGAAAAATTAGACGTAATTCTTTTACGTGAATTATTGTTACTTTGAAATTTCATTTGAGGTTATAAATTCAAAATATTGTTACGACCTAATACTAAAAATAGAAGAGTAATTGGAAAATATATAGGAGTGGAGAATTATTTATACGATCCTTGATTGTTCGAACTATAGATATCTTGGTTTCAATTAGTAACCAAAAAATGTTTGGTAATGTCTAATTAAATTTGGGATTAATAATATAATTAAGTCGAGACATTTTTTCGACTTAATATTAAGAAGAGAATAGTAAATTGAATATATAATCCTTGGTTAATCCAACCCTCAATTATTTAGATCAGTGATGCATCGTTTTTCATTTCCTTCTTTTTTTGAGACTATGTTACTTATTTTACTGTGTTATTATTGGTCTCAGTTAGTTTGGATAATCGAGGTTCTATTGCATTTTGGCATAGTAGGTAATCAGTACTTCATTATGCAGTCCATAGATTTTTATTTTAATTATTTTTATTCACGACTAATTTTTCAGATTTTACATCGAAATGTAAAAACTCAGTTGCTTTTCGTTTACTGTATAATGATATTTGATATTTGTATCAAATACAAAAAAAAACATATTAACATTTTTTACAAACCATTTTAACACAACTCCTACATTTAGTCAAGTCAAAATATAAAAAGATAAAAGAATAAAAGGTCCATCGTTTATTTATCGTTGGCTTTGCATCAAACATTAAACGATATATTTTTGTACATGTACATCATACATATTGCAACTAAGAGAATTTTCAAAAATGGACTTGCACTCCTCTTGCTACGAAGTCTTCAATTATTTTCTTTGCCTCGACGTTGAAACTAAAAGTTCTCCGTAAATTTTATTAACAATAATATTATCCACTGAATTGGATAAAAGATCGTACTTCATCGGACATTTTAAAGGTTTTATTTAAAATCTGAAAATTCTGTACAAACTCTACGGTTGAATGCAAGTAACTTTGTTATGTGATAGTGATGCTCGTACAGTTAAAACAAAGCTCGTTCCCTCCCTCCTCTCGTTTCCGCTTTGGAAATTGAATATTCCTTTTATTCCCCATTTACTGCGCATTTTTTTGATATGATGTTCAAGCGAGATTTGCTCTGCTACTTTTATTGGGCGCATTAAACACGATACTAAAGCATTTTGCGTATAAAGCATTTCCAGTTGCCGTGAGTTTAATTTACATTTTTAGTTTGTCTCGAGGGAATTGTTACCGTTGTTTGAGTCATGTGCTTAATTACTTAGTAATGTACGAACGAATTTATGTAGTACGTACAATTTTGCAATTGGACTATTAATTTTCATTTAAATCCCTGTTTTTGTAGGTTATTTTATTAAAACTGAGAAATATCTGTATATTTTCCTATGGTAAAACTTACGGTAAATGGTATAAATTATTGAATAATTATTGTCGTTTTCTGAATACATTTTTATTTTGATACACTGTATTTCGTACAATTACATGTTCTCTTGTATTTTACTATTCTTTGCGTGTTATAAATGTACCGAGTTTTATAATTTATTTATAATGGTAATTATGCAATTTTAAGTATTTATATAACGAATTATTGAAACCAGAGGCTTTTGAAACTTTTATTATTTAGAGAGCTCTGTTCGTTTTCCAGAAGATACATGTTGAACTCCTTGTATATTTTTCAATATGTACTTCCTCGTTCATCATTAAAAAAATGTAAAGCGAATTTAAAGAAAGACGAACAGCTCAGTTATACACAAATAATAAATCCCATTTGTTAACATTGATCAACGTGCAGTTTTCGTTAAAAATGAATTTCAATTCCAATTAAGAACCGTTCAATGTAAATTATTATTTTGTCATTGAATTAATAGAAAGCAATGTATGCGTTAAAATAAAGTCCATTTTATATATAACATCACATTATCGATAATACCAAACAATAAACAAAGGATAAAATACTACTCGTAAAAATTTACAATGTTTCCACCATTTTACGCCGATCCGAACTAGTCCAAAGAAAATGGCGTCCCACGGTACTCCGCCATATTGGTCCTGGCGATCGAGAACTACAAAGAAACTCGATTAAACGTGGGACAAAGCCTCAACTTCGACAAGGAATCGTCGAGATAAGCGTGAAAAGTAGTTTAAGAGGTCGACAGGAAGGTGTAATGGCGCGTAAAAGTGGGAAAGCTGTGCAGAAATTAGACGCGAAAGAGCTGCGGACTTTTCTCTTAAGGCTGGCAGAGTTAATTTCGTCCTCCGCGGCCGGAAAGCTCGGAAAACTCGATCACGTGAGTCTGACGCGAGGCATTTCCCGCGGTTCGCGCCAATGAAAACCATCGAAGAGTTGCTTTCTATTATGTAATCATTTTATCCGCTAAATATAGGGCTTCACGGCGCGCTCAGCGCAATTCGGCTTGTAATTTATGTAACGTTACAATAATATTAGCTTCCAGACGGGATGAGTATTTTACTTCGGACGAGAACAGTGCCCACTTTCGACCAGAATGATTGAATAGCTGGGAACAGTGTATCATAAGTTTATAATTACATTATTTCTAACATTTTGTTATAGATCTCGAATTATACAATAGTTTTATTACTCGCTAATGATTCATTTGTTTCCTGAAATTATTTAAAACTGTTGTAATATTTGTCGTTAATAATTCAATTGACTCGGTTTGCTGAAATTATTTATTATTATTGTGGCATTAAGGGTTAATGATTTGATTGTCTCGGTTTCCTGAAATTGTTTATAATTTTTGTAGGATTAATCGTTAATGATTTAGTAAATACGGTTTTCTGGAATTATTTGCAATTGTATGGATTTTAGAGATTTTAATCATTCTGTGATAGCCATGTCTGTTTGTAATGGGGGTGTCGAATGGCGACCGAAACGCCAATAAATTGTTCTGAAATTTATTCGCAATGTGTATTCACTGATATTGATAAATATCAGCTGCACAGAAATTTAAAAACTTGTATATGAAAAATATTAATTTAGAAGAATTAATTCTTCTGTTTCTTTAATTTCATTAATTAATATAGATAATTTAAGAAATAGATGGATTGTAAAACTGGTAATTTTTAAAATAGGCAGTTTGCGAAGTTAATAATGTCTAAAACAGATCGCTTGTAAAATGAATAATATGTAAAATAGATAATTCGCGAAATAAACAATGCTCAATATTTATAATTTGTAAAATAGGCGGTTCGCAGAATGAGTAATTTCTAAAATTGATCATTTATAAAACATATTTTCCAAAACAAATAGCTTGTAAATCATTTAATATGAAGGAGCATCTATTTGAATGAACTCCATTTCAGTCGGTTTCGCCGAAAATTCACCGAAGGCCATTGCCAATTCCCCAACAACTCGCATAAAACGTAAAAGAAAGTCGAAACAAACTTTTTCGTTTCGATTGCAGTCATATTCCTAGAAACATCGCGTCGCCATTTTATTTGCAATTCAGTAGAGCGGTTTGCTCTTCCGTTGTATCGTGTTTCACGGCACTTGGTGGCTGGGGATCGATACAGCCGATAAAAAACAACGAATAACTTACATCTTCATTGACAAACAAAGAAACTCGTCAGAGAGACAAAAGTTTCCTCGAACGGCATTAAGGGCTATAATTTGCCATCCTCGGGCAAACAAGTTCCTTTATTATTAATTTTCCAAGTTTCTTCAT